GCCTCAGAGTTGGCAGCGAAGAGGCAGACAAGTGTGTGTGTGTGTGTGTGTGTGTGTGTGTGTGTTTGTGTGTGTGTGGACAGGTCAAAAGACGGCTGTGAATACAACAGATGCCCGTGATTTAGCCTTTGTCATGTTTGTTAAAGCAAGCTTTGATCGCCCCCCACACTCCTCCCACCACTGTCCTACCAAGGAACGAGCAGTAAATAGCAAAGCGTAGAAGAGTGGAAATGAAGAGAGAAGAAGAGCATGAGATGGTCGAAAAAAGGGATGCATACGTTGGCCTGGGAGAGTATGAGACAAGCCGAAGAGAGTGTGAAGAGCTGGTTGAGCGTACTGGCCGATGTAGGGCTAGATTGAGAGACGGACAGACGGACAGGTTTGCAGATGCCTGGGGCGACGAATCATGGCCGTGGGCAGATAGACTGATGGGCAATACATGGCATGATGAGGCGGTGGTGTGGTAAAGGGGAAAACGAACAGGGGGTGGAGGAGGAGGAGGGCTGAGTATGAGTGTCGAAGGAGGTTGCTGAAACGAAGAAGTAGAAAGAACTAACAAAAAGATAAGGACAACAATAAAAAATAATAATACTGAATATGTTAAAGGGAAGAAGGACGAAAATAATGGCACTAATAGTAAAAATGGCAATAATAAGAATAATAAGAAAACGAACAACGATAAACTTAATAATAGTAAAAGTGCATAGAAAAATAAAAAAACAGAAGAAGAGGAAGAACAAAATAAGAAGAGGAATATTAGTAATAATAATTTAAAGGACAATAAATACAAGGACAAGAGACCAAGCATATAATTATTACTACTTAATAATGTATAACTATATTTAATATAGTTACCTAAACTATAATTAATAATAATGGTGATTATGATGACGATGGAAACAAGAAGAAGAGTAGCAATAACAAGAAGAACATGATTCTTTGTAATAATAATAAGAAGAAGTAAATAGGAAGAATGATAAGAACAAGAGTGAGATCAAGAAGAAAAAGGAGACGAGCAGCAACAACAATAACAATAGGAGGGAGGAGAAAAAACGAAGAATGGCAATTATTAAAGAGGAAAGGATGGAAAAGCAACATTACGATAAAGAAGAGCAATAATGATAATGCTAGGAATGTAATATTGATAATTGGGAGAAAAATATGAGTAGACACTAAAAAAAATCAAGAATAAATATAATAGTTGCGACATTACTACTAATAAGCCCAAGTAGTATTTTTTAAATAATTATATTAATAATGATGGCTCCAAGAAAAAGAATAATATTAGAAACATTTACAAGGGAAGAATTATAGTAGCAGAAACATTACCAATTATTATTATAATGAATAGAAAAAGGATTGGAGGAAGAAAAAAAAGAATAACTATAATTAGAGGAAGTAGTAGAAGGTAACGAGGAAGAGGAAAGCTGGAAAAGGCCAGATAAACCGCCACGCCCTCCTGGGCCATTAAACTTCCCATGTCAATATCGCAAATCTCCCAATGTCCAGCCATCAGTTCCACTCTCCTGTCCAGTACGTGGACACAAGTAGGACTGTTGTCACAGCCTTACTTCCACCTGCACCCTGGGCAACACATGCTTTGTATGAGATGCATTCATCCTATTTCGTTTAGGATACTCAGGCAGTTGAATTTCTCCACAATTATATGAATAGACCTTAAGTTTCCATTGAATTTCACATATATTCCTGCTCCCACAAAAGTTCTCTTCATCCAGAGTGGACTGTATTTTTGACCTCGCATATGTCTTATCAACACCCCCAGCGGGACTCGAAGCACGAAAGGGCATAGAGTGATATGGGGGAATGTCTGGCATTGCTTGAACGTTGCATCTGCTCTGTGGCCAAAAGGCACTTCTGGCAGTGTGGCGTAGTGGTTAAAGTGTCGAGATAATACGCTGAATGCCATAGTTCGAGTACCGCTAGGGGTGCTGACGAGACACAGGCAGGTTTGAAACAGCAGTTCACTCTTGATAAGAAAATCTTCTGGGAAGGAGGGTCATGTAAAATCCAATGGAAACATAGAGTCCACTAATATCATTGTGGGAAAATTCAACTATCAGTCCTTAATCATCTTAAACGAAATAAGGTGAATACATTTCATATAACTGATCCAATGGTAGTCTAGAAACAATAGTTATAAACGAAAAATAGACAGAATGTCTACAGACCAGACAAGAGAGGGATCATGCGCATC